TCTGCACGCCAGCTCAAAAATCATATTGAATTATTTTAAACTTTTTTAGATGAAAGCGGTGAAAGCCAAATGTAAAATTTGAAAAAGAAAAACAAACAAAAACCCACTTAATACAATTTCAATCGTTTATTTTCTATAAGACCGCTTGTTTTCACGGAAACAATTCACGGACGAGTACTATCCATCCGGGTATTTTCCTCGGACGGGCACTAAGGGCTGATAGTGTCTCTCCGCGGATGAACACTATCCAAACCTAAAGTTAAACCAATAAGAATCGCAGAAAATTTAGTTGTGGACTATAAGAGGAGAGGTGAGGGGCCCGTGCATCATTTTTTCAATCATTTCAAGTTTCTCAATGTCAAGAAGCAGTAAATGTCTTTCTTCTAGTCTTCTCTGGAATTCAATTATCTAGTTGCATCAAAACGTTCCTCCAAAGCTTCTGTATGGAAAAAAAAAAAACAAGCAAACGTGGCCATTTTGCAAAGGACGGACAGCCACTGCACACTAATGGCTGGTAGTGTGCGATCGCTCAGCCAATCAGGTTGCAGCATTTGCAGCTTTGCTGTGTTCCATTGAAAACCTTCGAATCTCGTTGGTTTTCTCATGGTTTTCTATTTGCTGATGGACCAAATGTAGATTTAATTTCGTGCTATTTTCTACTAAAATAATTTGACTACCCACCCTCGTTCTTTATGAGCGATAGTCAACTAGCCTCGTTGATTATTCGATCATAGAAAACCCGGGTTCGTAGTCAAAATGTTAATTAGCTATATGAAAATTAAGGGAATTTCTGTTTCAACAAAGACCCAAATTTTAAACTGTTAGTAAAAAGGATTAGTATATACCGCCTAAATGAATATTGCTTTTCACGAGTTCTGATTGGTTAGCTCGGAGGTCATTAGCATAGTACTTTTGACCTCCACTTCGGTGAATAAGAGTGCAATATCTGTTTCTATAACTCTTCGACAAGGTTTTTTGAGTTTGCGGTAGAATCAAAATGTCGGATCTAGTAATGGAGTCACAGTCGTAGTCTCATTGATGGCCATTGATGGCGGTCGCTGGTTGCCTTATTCTGTTACAGGTTCAGGTAATCACTTTTAAAATGGGTGATACCATATTCCTTAGATTTAAATTTATCAACGCAAGCAATGCTGACGTCCTCCACGCTTCCTCGGATACGACCAGAGCAAATGCCTGGTGGTACGACATGATGAACAACAATAGCGTGGTCAGCGAGTTGAAAGAAAACTTGACACTCTCTCACGCTAACCCTACCCTCTTTTTGGCGGCAGTCTGTTTCCCCTTGTCGAGACAACAAGCAGTCTGCTAAACATTCAATCATGAATGGTCCCGGAGTTGTCGACGTGTGTTAACGGTTAGGAATCCGAATATCCTTTCAGTGTTAACGCCTACTAATCCAAATACTCTAATTGATTAATCCGGAAACACTTACGAATCCGGAAAAAAATCTCCTCTAGTGTAAACCTAGTCTTGATATGTCATTTGTGTACTGTTACTAGTTTAGATGTATCACTATGTAAAGTAAATATTACAATAAAAAGTAGTATGGACAAATGTTGTCAGTTCTGGAAGCTAGAAACAACTAAATGATTGTGCGATGCGGAGGATTTCAATATGTCTGTTTGAAAAGATATATTGAATGTTTGAAATGGCCACCGGGGCGTAAACATGAAAACGGTTAAAATTTAGAAAGAATCGCCGGAAGTTGTTTAGCTAGATAGTCTCTGGATCATCCTCAAGGTACAGTGTGCGCCAAAGTTATTCCCAAGTTCAGCTATCTTGAACGCCACAAAAACTGACCGACAAATTAATCCAACGAAGCGATTCAAAGCAGCCAGGCAAAGAAATTGTGACCCTGAAATTGTGGTGTTTTCCGAATGACATGAAGAATAACAGAATTTCCCATTATTGTTGTTATACAAAACACTGAGTTATATAACACGTTAAAATATTTGTGATTTCGGTCTCTTCCGCTTGTTCCAAGCTTACGTTTACGATGAAGCAGGTTAAACGAGTTTTGTCATGGCGTACTGAGAAAATCAACAACCACAAAGATGCCTGATTCTGTCAGTTTTAGGTATTCAGGACAACATCAAAAGTAGACCACTTAGCTTTCGAAAGATTTCTAGTCCCTTTCGTAATCAAGTCAAATATATGAATGCGATTGCACCTTTTCAAAGACTGCGATCGCAGTCGGAAGTTTACTGAGCTTTTGATTCGTATTTTATTTGTCGGGGACGAGAAAGAACTGGTGGTGTTAAATCTGTCGCTTATGTGTTCGCCTGCTCACTAATGAATAAAGCTAAGCAACGGGATAGAGTTTACGAGTTCATCAGTTGAAAATGAATGTAAGCGTGAAAAATCAAATCAAAACTTGGGAGAGCAGATTAACGATACGTTTTTAATTTTCAATACAAGCAGGTGCTTCTTTTATTTTTTTTATTTTTTTCCAACTGTTAAATTCTATATTATGGAAATGAACACACAGAGAGAAATTAAACGTTCACATTCTCCACCGAAATCTTCTTTTCCTCCTTTTTCAGTTAAATCAATATTAAGAAAATTTTAAAATGATTGGTTGCAAAAGACTCAAAAAAAATCTTTGTGGGAGGCAATAAGAACTTCTAAACGAAAACGAATGCGTTTTTATGCTTTGGTCAAGCAATTAACTTGAGGCTATTAACAGTCAAGTCTGGATTAAATTTTGTGGTCATTTTTGTCTCCATGCTTGACTGCTGTCCACGTACAAAACTAAAACAAAACATTGGATGAGGTTAAGTGCCCATACCATATGTATTTCCTCGTTTGAAAATCAACGTCAAAAAAGGTTATTTTCCAAAAAAAATTTTTTTTTTTTTTTCGGATTTGAACTAAACGTGAATTTTTCTACGATTTTTTTTTAGTTCTACTGTTATTTGACACACTCTTCCACCACACCTGAGAAGACTATTGCCTGATGTACAAAGTCGTATCGAAGGAGTTTCACGAGTGCTTGAAATCGGACGGTATGTCCGAAGCGTGAAATCCAAACGAGCTGGTCCAGCAGGCTGGCTTTTTTTTTGTTTGTTTGTTTGTTTTTTGCTGAGAGGTGAGAATTTACTTCCCAAGCGCTAGAGAAGAGCGGTCCAGATGTGAACCTCGTGCGCTAGCGACAGTAACTATTGTTCGCGTAAGAAACGCCAGCACAAAGTGGCCTTAATTACCAGCGGTCCTCTGAAACTTGTTTTGGTTAAGATGCCACAAACTTTAAAGACGATGTCTTGAATGTATTATATGTGAGGGTGTATGGTACGCAGGGTCCTTTGTGTTTTTTTCGTCAACACAATAGTTGTGGCTCTTTCTTTCAAAATCCAAATTAAAATTTTCGGAAGAGGATTGTCAGCTATACATAGTTCTCCTACCTTGAATTGCGAATTTTCATTATCAAGACGAGCCTACCCAGCTAAAAGCCGTCTTTTATTGGAATTCGGGGTTTATTTCATATATTTTCCATGACATGTTACAGGTCTAATAACGTTACATGATTAGATGATTTTGGTTGCTTTTTTGATTGTAAATAACAACGAAAAATCTCCAGTTAACTTTTTCCTGATTTTAAGATCGAACAAAAGGCGATGTCTTTGTAATAGTGAAGAATATGAAACAAGTGGTTCCGGTATGCTTAAGAGGTTTTTCACGATGAACGTTACCGCCGCGGCCCGGATAACAGTTTCTTATCTCATTTTTTCTTTGGAGGGGATTGGCCATTTACCAAGGCTGTCGGGAAAGCGGAATTCCAGATTCCATCACGTTAGATTTCTGAATGTGCTTTGTGTGTAATGTAATGAACAAGGTTTGGTTTAAAAAGAGCTAAGGAAGGGAGAAAAGGTTTTTTCAAGGTCTTTCATAGTCCAAATAAAAAAGTGTACATGTAAGAGATCTTCCCAATTTCAGACTTTTCACTGATGTCTCCATTACTGAGATACATGATGTACGTACAGTATGTCATATCAAGAGAAAAAACTTATTGGTCACTAAGCTGTAGGGTCAAAGGTCATTTTTTTCAACAAACTTTGACTTTTAATCATCTGTATCTTCTAAAACCAATATCAGTGAAGATCATTCCGAACGTAGCAAGGTAGATAATCTAAATTTGTATCGAAAACGCTCGTTTATTGATCAATACAATACAAATTCGCCGATTTACCAAATTTTAACAAAATAGTCACGTGAAATGTCACGTGATCAAAATTATATGTTAAGGCAACGCAGGGCGCCGAGTTTTATAATCAGGGAATATTTCAGCTTGGTAAAACAAATACAACATGAGATATAGCTGCCTAACCATAATTCTACTTTACATTCCTGACCCAGGCCTTAAATTGCATACTTGAGAGATGGAATATTTCTTTACGTGAATAACCCCTTAAGTGTAACAGAATAACTTTCATTTCAAATATCATTTTCGCACTTATTAAAAAATATCGTCTACTAATCTTAAAATCAGGAAAATATTAATTAGAGATGTTTTTGTTGTTGTTACTTTCAGTCAAAAAAAATGTTAATTTTCGTTTCAATTAACGTTGTTAGGCCTGTAATCTGTTATGGAAAAGAACATGCAATAAATCCTGAATTCCAATAACAGCGAGCGTTGAAAAAGAATGCTTTTAGATTAGATGGCTCCAGTCGTGATGTTGACAATTCGCAATCTGTATCATCCTGATGTACCATTGACGGTAGGAGAGCTACTAATCTTACCTATAACTTTTAATTTGGACTTTTTGAAAGAAAGAGCCACAACTATTGTGTTGAACAAACAAACATAAAGGACCCTTTTTTTTCAAAGACCTGACTTCAATCAAAGCAAGGGGGACACAAAGTGAACTAAGTTGCATATTACACCCTCACATGTAATACGTACAAGACGTCGACGTTTTCTCTATCGTTTGTGGTAGCTTAAGCGAAACAAGTTTCAGAGGACAGCTGGTAAAAGACTAACCATGAACACATCCGATCAAACCTGTTTCTTTTTGGACATACATTTGGACCAAACGAGAGAAACGTTAACAACTAATATCATAGTATGTTTTGTCAATTCAGTGTTTTCAATCGTAACATGTATTGCAAATGCTGTTACTCTTCATGTGATCCGGAAGACGCAAGAACTTCATTCGCCATCGTTCTTCCTTCTGTTTGTCTTGGCTGCTTCAGATCTCCTCGTTGGACTGATTTGTCAGCCATCTTTCGTAGGGCTCAAGATAGCTCAACTTGGGAATGACTTTAGTGTGTATTGTACCATGGGAATGGCTCATGTCATATCCAGTTGGACAACCTCTGGCGCTTCTTTGTTAACTTTAAGCGCAGTCTCTATCGATCGTCTTCTGGCTCTAACCCTGCATCTACGATATAACACGATTGTCACTGTTCCTCGCGTCTTTCAAACTGCTTTTTGTCTGTGGGTGTTTGCTATAACTGTCGTAATGCTGAGATTTTGGATAAAAAACTGGCTTGTGTTTCCTCTGGTAATAATACTTTTGACATTTTTTGTTACGACCTTGAGTACCTTACAGATAGTTCAAATCGTTCGGAGGCATCAGCGCCAGATAACACAGCAACAGGAGAGTGTTCAAAGTAACACGATAAACGTGTTCAAATGCAGAAAATCTGCTGTGACTGTCCTTTATGTTTACGGTTTGTTCGTGATATTCTATCTTCCATTTTTTATTACTATGCTTGTCGAAACATTTACTGGATACACAAAAGCAATGAAGATTGCCTATGATTACGTTTCAACTGTGGTTTTTATCAACTCTTTCTTGAACCCAGTTGTGTACTGTTGGAGAATCAGAGAGATGAGACGCGCCGTTAAGAACGTATTCAGGATGAACCAAAATGTGGTTACCTCTCTGGAAAGCAGAACAATGTCGAGACAATAAGAGTTCCTGGCTTTCTAATAGTATACGTACAGCCAGCAAAATTATGAAAGCAGTCCAATTATTTCGATGTAGTAAAATTTCCATTTCTTAGATTGGTTACTAAGTTTACCACCTCTGTCATCTTGGCAAGTAGACATGGCCGACAGTTGCTGAATGAAATTTTCATTTATTCGAAAGATATTACTTCAAGTCTAGGATATTTGAATGCATGGGGAGTTTTCAACAAAATGACTTCTGTCGCTCTTGGACCAAAAATGTTTTTCAAGAGGTCATATTTAAGGTATTTAAGAATGGTAAACGCAGTGGTTTCGTCGGAACTATTCATTTTTGGGCGATGAGTACAGCTGTGAATGAAGACAACAACGATAAAACAAAAGTACCGAATGATGTTTTTTCTTTCGTAGTGTTTTTCTTGTTTTTTACTGCCTAACTCGAGTAGTTAATTGATTAAAATCGATGTACAGTTATCCTTAATTTTAACTTACTGAACTATGGCTGCATACGTGTGTGCAAACGAACAGTTGTTTCTGTGTGTTTTAGTCCGCTGTTTTAGTTCGCTTATTTCTAGTCCGTCTTGGATGCCCACCTCTGAAAAACATAGTCAAACAAATTATTCGCCACAGCCATAGGTGAGAATTTACCTCGACTTCGTTCCGGTAATATTCATAAATTTTCACTTCGCCTCCGGCGAATAACTGTTAAACGATTCTTAAATAGTACCTCGTAGCTATAAATCTTCATAATAGAAGAAGTTTCGTGAAGAACTGGTGGGATTAAATCGCCGCTTGTGTGTGCACCTGCTCACTAATGCATCAAGCTAAACAATGGAGTAGAGTTTAAGAGATCTTAGTTAAAACTGAAAGTAAGTGCGAACAATCACGGTTTTCGACGCCATCTTGATGGGTAGGCAAAGCGGTCAGAATTTAAAGTGTTTGCATGGGAATCCGATAGCAAAAAACTTTATCCAAAATTGAATTTTACACAATTTGTGAATAGCAACGTTAAAATATTAGGTAGAAGATTGTATCAACAAAGTTTGATTGATGTAGCTTGGCTAGAAGACGCTCAGTTATTTTTTCTAATTAGTTTATCTAGAAATTTAGCTTGGTAGACGCGGTTCGCGGGAAACAAAATTTTAGACGAATGCATGGGAAATTAAAAATTAACTGAGTGTCTTCTAGCCCAGTTACGTCCTTCAATTTTGGTGAACACAATCTGCTACCTAGTATGGCAAAGTTTATTTGAAAAAGTTATTTGCGACCCTATTCCCATACAAACACTTTAATTTCTGACTGCTTTGCCTACCCAGCAAGATGGCGTCCAAAACTGCGATTAGGCCTATCAAAACGAAACATTGGAAGAGCAGTGCAGGATACGTATTCAATTTACAATGGAAGAGCAGGTGTTTCCCCAGCTGTTAAAAATTTCTATTTTGTGCATATGGATCTCACTGACATGATCAGGTAACTATTTACTTGTTACGTCTATACTATTTACCAAATAAGTGGGGCGTAATTCTGAAGTTCGCATACAAACCAGTTGCTAATGTCCGAATGTCGAATTGAATTCCAACGTACTTCAGATAACTTTATGTAGTTGAGCGAGAATCTGATCCAGGGTTGGGGGGACAAAAAGCACAATCACACATCTACCGTGATGAAATCTGGAATTTCGATTTCCAGATAACCTTGGTGAATAGCCAATCCCCCTTCAGAGAAAAAATGAGATTTCAAAAAAATTACAGTTCCCACGCCGGGAATCGAAACCGGGCCGCGGCGGTGAGAGCGCCGAATCCTAACCACTAAACCATGTGGGACGACTTCACGACTCGCAATGATAATAATCCACCTCATAATATTACCAGTTAAAATAACATCTGCATTCAAAGTGACAATCCACATGTAATAATTCAATTTATCAATTTTTTGTAGAATCACAAGACAAGCTGTTAAGTAGCTTTAAATCATTTTGAGTATACTGTCAATTCTTTACAATGAAGAGCGCGCAACTGTGATGAAAATGATGAAACTGCGATGAAATTGATGAAAAATTATTCTATAAACATGCAAAGTGTTGGAAAAACACAGGGTGAAATTAATCAAATGGCAACCGCACAGTGAATTTCGAAGTGTATCCAGAAACAGAAGCATAAAGTTTTGTTTTAATTTTCTTGTTTTTTTCTCTTTTTTTTTTTTTTTTAGTTTGATCCTCGTGATTATCGTTTGATCGAGACATGTGCCCGGTCCAATACTTGGAAAATATTTAACCGGCAATAGAACAATCTAACTGGTTGATTTAAGTTATTGCCCCCCTAAGAAAACTTAGTCTTGTAAATAACTGGAAAAGTAATTTCACAATTCTAATGAATATTTATTAACGTGCATATTGAAAAAGCCTCATATATCTAGAATAACAGAGCAACTTGTTTCATTTGAAATATCCTATTCTCACTTATTAAAAAATACCGCCTATTGTTCTTAAAATCAGGAAAATGTTAATTAGAGATTTTTTTTTATTTCTTCCAGTCAAAAAAAAAACCAGCAACAAAATAATCTGATCTTCGGTTTATTAAGCCTGTGATCTGCAATGGAAAAAATATTAAATAATCCCTGAATTCCAATAAAAGTGTTGAAAAAGACTGCTTTTAGATGAGAAGGCTCCAGTCGTGATGTTGATAATTCGCAATCTGTATGATCCTGACCAACCATTGAAGGAAGGAGAACTATATAGAGTTTGCAATTATAATCTTCTTCCGCAAGTTTTAATTTGGATTTTGAAAGAAAGAGCCACAACTATTGTGTTGAACAAACAAACATAAAGGAACCTTTTCCGCTTTCAATAACGTGACTTCAATCAAACTAAGAGGACGTAGACTGAAATTGCATTATTAAACCCTCACATTTGATACATTCGTGACATTGTACTTACGTTTCTGGTAGCTTAATCAAGACAAGTTTCAGTGAGCAGCTGCTAAAAGACTTACCATGAACACAGCCAATCTAACGTGCGACTTTTTGGACATTCAGTTGGACCAAACGAATGTAACGTTAACAGACAAAATTATAACATGTTTCCTCAATTCAGTGTTTTCAATCGCAGCATGTATTGGAAATGCTGTTATTCTACTTGTGATTCGGAAGACGCAAGAACTTCATTCGCCATCGTTCTTCCTTCTGTTTTGCTTGGCTGCTTCAGATCTCCTCGTTGGACTGATTTGTCAGCCATCTTTCGTAGGACTCAAGATAGCTGAACTTGGAAATGACTCAAATGTGTACTGTACCTTGGCAATAATTCAGGCCATATCCAGTTGGACAACCTCTGGCGCTTCTTTGTTAACTTTAAGCGCAGTGTCAATCGATCGGCTTCTCGCTGTAATCCTACATCTACGATATAACACGATTGTCACTGTTCCTCGCGTCTTTCAAACTGTTGTTTGCCTGTGGGTGTTTTCAATAATTGTCGTAATGCTGAGATTTTGGATAAAAAACTGGCTTGTATTTCCGCTGGTGATAACACTTTTAACATTTTCTGTTACGACCTTGAGTACCTTAAAGATATTTCAAATCGTTCGGAGGCATCAGCGCCAGATAACACAGCAACAGGAGAGTGTTCAAAGTAACACGATAAACGTGCTCAAATGAAGAAAATCTGCTGTGACTGTCCTTTATGTTTACGGTTTGTTCGTGATATCCTATCTTCCAGTTTTTGTAATTATGCTTATACAAACATTTGCTGGAGTCACCAAAACAACGAAGATTGCCTTTAATTACGTAGCGACTGCGGTTTTTATCAACTCTTTCTTGAACCCAGTTGTGTATTGTAGGAGAATCAGAGAGATAAGACGAGCTGTTAAGAACGTATTAAGGATAAACCAGAATGAGGTTACCCCTCTGGAAAGTACAACAATTTCAAGGCACTAGTTCTCGGACTTCAAATGTGTTGCTCTGCGTAAGTAGTATAGTTAAATTCGAGCTGTTAAAAGCCTTATACTGTGGAAAAGCCAAGAGGAAAACACCATACACGGCATATCTGCCCGTGTTTGCTACATCAGTGGGCAGTTTTCATTTTCTAAGTGTTTTGATAGTATAGTCAGCAAAATTACGAAAGCTGAACAATTTTTTTCAAATAGTGCCTCGTTGCCATAAGTCTTCATAGTAGACTCCTTATGTGTAGATGGCATGAAAGCTTCGTGTACATCATTCGAGGTTTTCTCAAAGTTATTTACTATTCGGTTTTCCTTTTTTCTTCATTTGTCTACGTTCGTAGGCGAACGGGCAACTTTTTGCCACAGGGGGGGGGGGGGGGGGGGGGG